TCAGTATGCAGAGAGGGATGTAGGAGCGAGAGAGGGAGACGGGCACAAGAAGGCAGAGAAAAAGAAGAAGGGCTGTAGGAGATACTGCAAAATAGAGGTCAGAATGAAGAAGGAGAATAAGATGGAGGGGAAAGATCAGTGGAGGTGAAAAGGGGAGGGGAAGACAAGAAGAAAGAATGAAATGAGAGATGGACAGAGAGACTGCAAGGAACATGTGTTGAAAAGGTGAGGGAGGGGGAATTAAAGCAGGAGGAAAGAAGCAGAAGAAATAATTAGGACATATGGAAGGGATGGGGGGAGTGAGGGCACCGAGAAGGCAGAGGGGAGAAGAGAAAAAGGAAATAGGGATGTGATAGAGAGCAACAGTAAAAAAAAGGCAAAGGTGAATTATGGAATAAATAGAGAGGAGGAAACACAGACAGACAGAGTATCCTTAAAAAGTATGGAAGATCCTTTGCTTAAGGCCGTAGTCATTAAAGAATCCAGATACATGGGTCTGGACACATACACAGCTCTACTAGGTACAGAGGCAGAGCAATACATTAAAGGCTAGGTCGATATTTCTTCAACTCTATCCTACTCACATAGAGGGATTACTGAGCAGGCCTACCAGACTTCGACCTCTCGGCCCCATGAGCCTGAGCAATAATCCTCCACAGAAGGATTACTGAACTTTCACTGAAGGATTCAATAATCTTTCAGTATGACCGCAAAGACACAAACAGTGATCACAGAGGCACACAAAAAAATAAATGCTCTTTTTGTTGTTTTTTTTAATTCGGTAAATGAGGCCACTGAGAATTGGCTTACTTTTTTCTGCCTCAACTAGTAAAAGCTTTTTTAATGTAATATTAAGGACAGTTTCCTGAGCAGTCTCTGCTCACACATGTACAATTTAACTTTAAGGAACTTTAAGGAAAAAAACACCTTGACCAGAATTCACTCAGTTAAATTACTTACTGTGTTTCAGTTAAGGCTCATGTGAAATTACATGAAAGAAACAAGTATATATAAAAAAAGAGCTGCTGTCCTCTGAATTGCTTTTAGGGTGTACTCACACCAAGCACAGTTTCCTTGTACCCTGCCCAGGCACAATTGTCGCCTATCATCACAGCCTGTTGCGTGCTTCACAGTTCTTGTGAAGTTAACAATGAAGAGCATGATGATATTGAAGTTGATGTTAATGAAGACAAGGAACCCCATGATTGGAATCATCTTCATGAAAACATGTCAAATGTCTCAAGATTTCTCAGATCTGTAGGGCTCAACAGTGGTCCCTGAAAGGTGCTCACTTCTGGTTGAAAGCGTTGTACAGAGAAATAAACGTAAACTTCATGACTGCTCCTTATGTAACAAACTTGCTGTACTATCTCTATTGCATTTTTCTGTAAGAGGAACATTATATTTTTGAGTGATCTTTGGCAAAAAAATGTATATTGTTTATTCCAACAACAGTGTGGACCTTATTAGTTTATAACAGATAAAACATAGGGTAATGATCAAAATATGTTTTATTCAGATACTTCCAATGGTCAAAAGTCAATACATTACAGAACACAACCAGTTAAGTGGCATGTAAAAATAAAAATATACATTCACATGCATAGAGAAATATAGAGAATCAGAATCAGATAGGCCACAAATGTGTAAATGTGTCAATGCTGTGTTATGAAAAAACACCAGTACTTGGTAACCATATTTATAAAATAGCATGTAGCATTACTAGTGCAGTTACAGTGCAGAACAAATGGAGCATTGTAATTACAATAACAATGGCTCAAAGTCTAAATATGAACCAATTAAACAATATTAACTGTCTGTAAGTAAATGAAGAACTAGACCAATGCCTTAGCATGGTGTTTCCTCATGGCCACAGAAGGAATAGTGAAGAGGAGGAGGAGGGGGACGTTGTGGATGTGAGGATGTGTGCTGCTGAAATTAAGGCACCATGGCATCAAACAGTCTGCTCATCATTTGCTGGAACATCCTGTTTGTCTCTTACCGTTCCTCCCTTTGTACCTGTTGCTGATGCTCCTCCATCTCCATTTGTGCCTTCATCCAGTTATCAAGCATCTCTTTCTCTTGCTGTAATGCAGTTTTTCCCCTGCATGAATTCATCATACTGTTTCTTTTGTATGTCCATAGAAGCCGCCATCATATCACTTGCATCTGTTTTCATCTTCTTCTTCCTCTTCTTGAACTGATCTGAGGATGTTCTGTCAGGTCTACTGCAATCAGAGGTTTCATCACTGGTGTGGGACTCATCTGAATGAGTGATATAACTGTCAGAATAAAAGCAAATTAAATGTAGTATAAACAAATATAAACATCCGTTCTTAATACCAACAAGCACAGAATGACCAAACATTAGCATAGCAGTCATCAGGGTAATTTCTGGCACTTGCTAAATACTGTAGTTAGGTGTTGTGCAGTGGCTGTTAACTGCTCCCAATACTTATGACAGCTGAGTAACTAAGAATAAATACAGAGACTGAATTTGTCCACAGGGATTCATGTTAATAAAGCATATCTTAACTAATAAATGGTACCATATGCTACTCACTGCTCAGTGGGCTCACCATTAAAGGATGGTGCAGGTGATGTTCCTGAATGTGACTCCAAAACCTTAGGTTCGCTACTTGGTTTAGAACCGATTATTTTTTTCCACAGCATTGCACCAGTGGAATTTATCCTTTTCATCCAGTGAGCTCCCAAATTTATGCAGCGTATCCTTTACCTTCAACTGAACCTGCAATTTTTTTCAGCTTGTCACAACACTGTTCACTGATTCTTTGGTATGCACAAGCATGACGGTAGTATTGGATTTTACCAAAGATTTCAGAGTTCTTCTGTGTTTTATCCAGTTGTTCCTGTATACTCTTGTCCATCCAGATTTTCAGCAAACACTGCACCTCTGCCACGAACCAAAGTTATCTTTTTGCTGGCATTTTCTTTAAGTGCTACAGTTGCATATTTGATGTTACAGCATTTGTATTCCGTACCTAGGCACCTTCAGCAATCATACTGCAGAATGCCATGCTTGAGACTAACTGTGTCTGGGTATGCATGGAGTAATCACACTAGTCAAACAAACTAGACTTTGGGGGTCAAATGTGCCCGGACACAATACAGATTGTCTATTGTGAGTACGCCCTTGATCACAGTCTGACACACATGTATGTCGACTCACAGATAAGCAGAGATTCTTTGTACCTTTGGTTTGCTCATTAAGTCTTACATATAATTCCTGGCATAAACTATATTAAAAGTCTTTAAAATGGTTTCATAAACCCTGCTGAGAAAATGTAGATGAACCGAGGAAGGATGAGAGACATGAGAAAAAGCTGAGGTTGTGGAGACAGATAACTAAAGTCAGAGGGAGGTAATGAGAGAGATGAAAAGATAAAAGACTGAAAGACACAGATGTTGAGATGCAAAGGAATGCATGAAAAAGAAAATAGAGAGGAGTACAGTGAACGTGATCTAAAATTGGAGATGAGGGAAAAACAGGACATGAGGAGGAAGAAAGAGGCAGAGGAGGAGATGGAGAGAAAGGGTGAAAGAAAGAAGGGGATGTGTTGAGGAAAAGGGGAGAGTACAAAAAACCCTGAAGTCAAACTGAGTGTATGGAAAAAGTTGGGATTAAAAGTTGGAAATTAAAATTTAAACCAAAAATAGTGATGTGTAAATCATCTGTGTCTTGTGTTACATTGAAAACAATACAGCAGCACATTATTTGATGTGATACTTCATCAATTTTATTCTTTGTTCAAAATAAACACACTTCAATTCTCATGCTGCAACACATTCCAAAATGGGTCAGTTGCATTTCAGGGCCAGTAATGAGGTAAAACAATGAAATGATGATTCCATGTGAACCAGGTGATATCAACAGGTGACTGCATCATGATCTGGTACAAAAGTGGCATCCAGGAAAGGCCGAGCCCTTTAGGAGAAAAGATGGGCCGAGGACCACCAGTTTGCCAACATATGTGTGAGAAAATGTTCTTCAAAGAAAGATAGGAAGGGATTTGGATATGTCACCCTCTACGTGGAGCTGAAGCCAACTCATGCAGTAGACAGTTACCTATGTACAATACACAATAACACTGAAATAACTGATCATAACAAACACTGGGACACACTCTGATTAAAAGAAGCTCTTGCTCTCTATGGGTATATATAATTCTTGAAGAGAGCCTCCAAAGTACTGAACCTATCTGGATAATGTTGTGGGCTTTGTGGACGTGTGTTGACCTTTTGTGTTGTGCAGACCTGTGATATAATCAGCCAAACTGACACACCTGAGCAATCAGCTGGCACACCTGGTATTTATAAGCTGTTGTTTCCCGGTCACCTTTGGGAATATGGCCAATACGCTGCTGCTCTTTTGTTGAGTAATTTTACTGTTATATGTATTGTTTATGTGTACCACATTTAATGGCAATTCATCCAGCAGTTTACTGATTTCACTTCTTGATAATGGACCTTAGAGCAAACCTAGTATTGGAACATACTGTACAATTCAAATTTGGAAACTATAAGCCCAAAATCACCACCTACAGGTACAGATAATTAAGAAAAGAAATTTTAGATGAATGCCCCCTGTCATCTTGTAGTTTAACTTCATATCTGTAGAGAAATAAAATGGTTTGAAACCTTAGAGACAAATAAGGCATTAGCACATCATAGCACCATCATTGCTGATCTTCACTCCTGCTATCACATGATGCTTTGGTTAACAGCATCCACCCAATCTCATTATAGCCAGCAATTTTAACAGCAGTACTTTACAGTGATACAGTTTATTCTAATAGTACAATGCACCTGCAGCCACACAGAGCATCTCTTTTATGCAGGGTTCAGACTGGATTAAATCCTGAATTGGCAACAGACACTTGAGTAAGGTATTAAAGGTGTGTGTGTGGTCTATGGTGAAATGAGCTGTCACGTTTTCTCATTTGATTTAATGTATGTGTCTGTGCTCTCTCTCTCCTCAGATACACCAAGATGAAAACAGCCACTAACATCTACATCTTTAACCTTGCTCTGGCTGACTCTTTGTACTTGGCTACTTTACCTTTCCAGGTAGGGATTCATCAACCACCTACACATACAGTAAACAAATTTCAAAGCATTTCAAACTATTCTTCTTTTTAAACAATAATATATTTTATATTATGCTAGTATAAATTAGTTGTGAATATTGTACTGCTCAAGATGTACTGCAGTAACCGGTAAACCTCGATTGTGACATACTGTATGAATGTTGCCACTATTGGCACATCCTGACATATTGGACAATGTTTTTGAAGACTCTAGCAGTATGGATCATATTAAGACAGTATTTTGTAACATATACAATCAGGTCTGTGTTAGGGTTTAGTCTCCCTCACCAGGAGGGTGAGGGAGAACTGGGGTTGGACTCAAGATGGCTGACCGAGTGCTAGTACAAAAAACGGTGGTTTAATGGAATAAAAACATGACAACATAACAGGGTCCATAATACATACAAGGAAAGGGCAGTGATGACTAAGGAGACCAGGATGGTAAACACACAAACTAACGACAGGAACTAGGATAGCGGGGGCCCGTTTCAAGAAGAAGGTTTTGTTGAAACTCTGAGTTTGTCAACCCCGAAATGAGGAAAACTCAGAGTTTTTGGTTCTAGAAACGGAGGTAACTTAAACCCGTGAAAGCGGGGTAAGTTAAACCAGTTTCAAAAAGAGAGGTAATCTAAACTCAGAGTCAGTTACTATGGCAACTTACTCTATGAACCTAACCTGGTTGGGAGCAGGTTTTGTTCGAGAAACCCAGAGTTTCCTCCGGTCTCCGCCCCTTTTTAAAGTGAAAGCTGTTTAAATAGGCCTACCTCATTTAATCTTTCAGTACACTCATAGATAAATCGGTATTTTATACAATTACTGAAGTTACTCATTAAATTATTGAAGAATTAAGAACCATTCTTTACTTTACAAGTGACAAATAATAACAATACTAACATTATTTAGTAATTACTTACACCGAACACTGTATGATTAAAATGTAAACGTACGCATTGACTTGGGCAGCTATTTTTCCCCAAGCTAACTTTTTCTCTTTCGCCGCTGCAGCCGTGTTGCTTTTTTCTTTTCTTTTTTTACGAAATATGGGCTCGTAGTCACTATATGCTTGTAGTAGCACATCCATTTCTGTCGGGGAAAAAAAACGGAGACCTATTTTTGCTTGATCCTGTTGCCGTGATGACTCGTAATGTCTTCACTCCATTGTTCAGGGCTTTTTATAGTCGCGCTGCACGTGCCTAATTCTGAGTCAACCTACTCAGAGTTGATCAAACCAACTCTTTTCAGCTGTTCTGAAACCGAAAACTCCAAGTTTTCCAACTCTGTGTAAGGCAACTCTGAGTTCAGGTTTGAACTCTGAGTTTGTTAAACCGCCTTCTTGAAATAGGCCCC